TGTTATTTAAAGAAGTATTTGTCAGTTTTAATAATTATGTTTTCAAATCAGGATTAAGGTCTGCTACTGTAAAGTTTTACAGAAGAATTTCATTATACACACTTACACACAGAAAGAAAATACACTTTTTATGTATGAGAGTTTGCAGTAATCTTTACTTATACCTGTACTAATCCTATTGTACAGATTTATTGTCATTATGGTACTTTATACCTCTACAAGTTAGACATGTAAAATTGTGAAGATTTTTTTCTAAATAATATCATGATTTTTATATAATCTTACCCCAGTAATACATAACTACAATTAGTTTATATAACTGGCATCTGTTAACATTTTTTATTTACTAAATTAGCATTCAGGTATTTGTTTAATAACATATTATACAATAATTGCATGATTTGTAGATGTAATTTTAAATTTTGTCAGTGTAAAAAAACTTCAGGTTCCTTCCCTTTATTCTTTTAACCATAAGGTATGTTTTTTGTAATTTCATAATTTAATTAACATGTGTTATAGACTTATCCTCAGAAGTATATACTTTAAAATCTATTGAAAAAGTCAAATCTAAACAGATAATTGGATTAACATGTGTTATAGACTTGTCCTCAGAAGTATATGTTTTAAAATCTATTGAAAAGGTCAGATATAAATAGATAATTAAACATTTTTTTATTATTCAAAAGTCTATTATTATATTTGTAATTTTCTGCAACCATCAATATGGTTTTATTGTAGTCATGTATTTTTGTTTGTGAGATTAATGTTGTCTTTACACTGTGTATGGATACCTCATAATAAAGTAACTGTCAGTAAGTTAATTGCAAACATTTTTGCACCTTGTCATTCCATAGTTTTATAACTAAAGCTAAGTGATATAAGAACACAGTTTTGGTCACTGAAAAGAAATTAAGGATTTAGTGTTGTTATTGATTGTTTGCTTACACTTTTTTGTTATGAGGAACAAGTATACAGTGGAATTTCTGGATTTTATCTGTTTAAAAATTCTTCCAAACCAAATGTTTTAAATGTTGTAGATATGTGTATGTATCCCTTTAGTACTTGAAACTGAGAAAGGGAAAGAGAACATAAGATATTATGATTTAAATTGTCTTCACAGAAAGACCTTTTGTATATAATAAATGCCATTTACTGGAATGATTAGTACATCACCTAGAGAAGTAGGTTGGACATACATAAATATTGTTATTGCAGAAAAATTACACTTAAAGAATTAATTAACTACTAATTTATAAATGTCTAGTGATTGTTTTTAAATACCTTAATGTAAGAGAAAAAATGATCACTAAAAACAGATTTATACATTTTAACAATAACATTTAAATCTTGGGTTCTGTTTACTATCAGAAACTGACTCGTCCAATCATGAGATGGTAAAAATATGTAAATTTCTTAGAACATTTCCAAGTTGGAAAATCCAATTAGCTAGTGATTTCTAATAAATTTTTGTTGCAATTTAACTTCAACAGTTCTGTAAAATTATTGTTCATTTATCAGGATTGAAATTTTTAATTTTTAATCATGAAAAAGAAAAGTAGTAATCTGTTTTAAAAGATGGGTTATATCTTTTATTAGCATGATTTTCTCACATAATATTAAGAAATCAGGTTGTACAAAGTATAAAAGTTGTTGAGACTCATAACTATTTTTTTCAAACTTTGAAGTGATTTATTTCAAAGTAAAATTATTAAATAAGCAATATTGTAGTCTTTCATTGCAGTACTAGAAAGCATTGGATTGTAATTTATGGTATATTAGTGTGGGTTTGGAGCTCAGTATTATTTTTGTTGTGAAGTTCTGTACACCTCTACTTGTGTATTAGATTAAATGTATTTTGTTTAATTAAAATGTTGATTTCAATATATGCTAGGATTTAGTTGTTTTTGTTTTATTTTTTGTGATAAAGCCTATGTGTGAAAATTGTTAGATCTGCAAGATAATCTAAAAAGTAGTTTGAAATTATGTATTTTCCATAGTTTTTCTTAGAAGTGGTAATAATGTTTTCCAATTTTTACTAGTGTTTTGTAATTGGACACATTTTTAATTGAATTATCTTGGATGGGCTGTTCAATACAAATATAAATTATCTATTGTAGAAGGGGAAAGTTTATTAAAAAAGTGTACGTCTTTTTGCTTATCATGTGTTGGAGTGGTCCAATAAAGCTTATCGTTAAAATGATGACTTGTATGAATTAATTTAAATTGTGTCCCCATCACATGCAGAAGTTAGAGCAATGTTCTGCTTTTTGTTTAGTTAAATTTATGGTAGCAGTAATTTTATAGATTTGATTCACATTACATGTTGGTCAAAAGATATCTTTTAATTAGGTATTGTGACTGGACAAAATACAATTTTAAAATATTGGAATGGAAAAAAATATTAAGTATGTGACCTACAGTGTTTTAGTCAGAAGAACTTAAATACGATCCAGGTAATACATAAAAAATTATATTTCGTTTTATCCTACCTAGTTTTGTGAGTAACAAAAAGACCACATCATGCTTACACGCAACTTGCATTCATATACGCAGTTTGAAACTTTCATTATTGTATCTCTTTCACATGTGGAAAATATTTCTATATTAAGGCTATATTTTCCCTTATACGATATGTAGAAAGCGAATTTATTGATTTCATCTACTCTATTTAACTAGTTAAAATATTAGTTTTCTCTTTAAGAAAATGAGTTTTAAAATTTTTCTGAAAAAATTTTAAAAATTTATTATTCTAAACATGAGTGACTTAAACTCATTTGTAATAATAAGTACAGAAAGAAAACAAACACCAACTGTAGAATGCTTTTACGCATATATGTAATAAACCTTACATATTGTTGGGTTTGATAAGTCAGACATTTATGTGGACACTTTTTCTCTGTATTGTAAGACATATTTGACAGGGTACCTTTCATAATATTATAAAAAACAGACTTACCCTGATGAAGATTTTAAAATATATAAAACCAATAGTGTAATATATGATCACATTTGGTGCATTGTATAGTTTTTCTAAGTTACCAAAATGAGTTAAAATAATGATATATGAAGACATTTGGATGGCTGAATACTAATGTTTTTATGTTCTGTAGGTAAGATACACTTTTTATTTTTTGTAGTTACTTTTATTAATAGTATTGGTTGGAATATTTAATATATCTAGTTTTATTTCTAGTATTATATGTTCATTATAAAGATTGTTTGCAATGTTAGCTTATTATAAGTATTTAAGACTAACCTAAACCTAAATTTCTTAAGCTGGCTGAACCCCACGAGATATTGTTGGATTTACAGCTGAAAATATTGTTAACAGTAAGGGTACCCAATTGATGAAACAATGCATTCTAATCTTTATAAGAGATACATAAAAAATTATATTGAATCAGCTATAATGATGACCAGATTTAGTTTCAGTTGAGCTCTAAGTATATAGCTTACTCTGATTAGAAGTTATTGTTATTTTATATGTATAACAATAGGTTACTGTGATTGAAGTTATTATTATATTATATATATATATATAATAAAGTGTAATTTTCTTCTTTTGAATTTTTAATGCTCCTGTAACATTTCATTACACTGCTATAAATTATATTGATCTAATTTTATCTTTTGTAATCACATTGAATTATTTTCAAAACTTTCATCTAGTAAATGTATTTTCTATCATTTTCATGGTTCTACTGTTTTGCTTAAGCTTTGTAGTTATCATCATCCTCATCTTGTATTTAACATGTTATGGGTCCTTTGTGATGTTTATTTTTGCTTTTCATGTTCAATACCTCCCCTTTTTTGTTTCTCCCACTTAAAAAGCATTGTAAAAATATTTTTATTCATGCTACTTTGTCTCAGTCTCATATATCTTGTATCTAGTTTATTACAAAACATCTGTGAAATATTTTTCTACATGAAACATGGAAATATAAGATTTTAGTAATAGTGATAATGTAACTTAAGAACATTTTTGCATTAGGAAATAAGATGTGGCTCATATTATTCAAGTACATTTTAAAGCCATTTCACTGAGATTACATCGTTCATAAAGACCATTATAAAAACTGTTTTCTCACTTACCTCCCATAATAGAAATCTTTTTTTTAAAATTTCTTTTTCTCACATTTCACAATCACTGTAGTGTACTACTTGTCCTATCCATATTAGCAATCATTTTAAATTTTTTCATTTGTATTGGTAATTATTTCCCACATTTTTGCACCTATAATGTTATGAAACCATTGTACAGTTGTTTCCTTTATCTAACTAATTAGTGTATTAAGTTTTTGAGCTTCCTACATGCCCCCAGTAGCTCAGTGGTAAGTCTGAAGGCTTATAATGCTAAATACGTAGCACAGATAGCCCATTGTGTTACTTTGTGCTGAACTACAAGCAAAAAAAGCCTCCTGCATAGAAAGACATTTTAGTACTGTTTTCTTCAGATCACATCTCTTAAATTATTAAACTGTTGCACAGGTGGTTGTTATATGATCTGCTGAAATAATGTACCTTATTTCTTATCATACATTATCACCCAGGCAACATCTCATACTTCCTTTATAGTAGAAGACTAATGTAAAACCTTTTCCTCCTTGTACATGATGCTTGAAGCCAACATTTTGTATTCTTTCATGAAATCATTGTAAATCTTTATTATTCTCGTGTTTTATTATACTGCAGGCCTTATCTTGTATTTATTATTTTATCTGTATAAGACCATTGAAAAACTGTTCTTTTTATATTATATATATATCACTGTATCCAACATATAGAAAGAGTTGTGGAAAGATAGTTGTGTAATTCAGTGAGTGCAAATAATTAAAGAACAGTCTAGTTCTTTGTATTCATTATATTCTCTTTTGTAATAAGAACCTTAAATTTGATAAATGCTAAATGAAGTTCTCAAAATTATGCTCTTATTATATGAGCTATTACTTATTAAATTATTTTAGGGTACAAGTTACTAACTTACTGTTCTTGCATTCTAGCATCCAGAATGCTCAGCTTCCATTCATTTGGAGAAACATGGCTTCCATTCCAATGAAATAAGAAACAATTTAAAAGTTTTCCCGAATCCCTTGGATTGTTATTTCTATCATAGTAAGTTTTTTAATTCATAGTGGTTAATTACAGCAAAACAAAAAGTAGTTATTGTTATATTCCATTATACTATTTAACACTCATCTGTTTTAACAAACAGGTAAATAACAGTATTAGGATTAGTGTTAAATTAGTACTTGGTGGTGTAAGTATTAAAAAGTTAGATTAGGCTTAGCATGTGTAACATGACTTTACCTACAATTCAGCTTATTGGAAAGTTATAAAACAGGCCAAATGTATTGTATTACTACATAAATATCCTTTAAAGATTAGTTATTTGTCATTTCTTAATTTATAAATAAACTTAATTACTTTAGTGAGAAAATAAGGTAATGATAAAATAATGTAATATATTTAATAGTGTTGTCAATAGACTACTTGTTTTTAGCATTGATTATGTATTCCCAGGCTACAATGGTTAAGAGTAACATAGATGTTAAGCACTCACACTTTGTAAGGAGTGAGTTTTATTTGGGAACTTGGAATTGGCATGCAAATTTAAAAAAGCTAGTAATGAAGGTGTGTAACTTGTATGTAGAGTTTGTAGATTAGAAGAGGAGGAATTAGAGGTTATACTAAATAGAGTAGAAGCTACAGATAAAGAGAAGAGTAAACTGTTGGAAATGGCAGAGGATTTCAAAAGTAACTTGAGCTTTTCCATGCAAAGGTTACAGTAACTAATAATGACTTTTAGGGAGTTAGAAACATCTCTAATAGAGAAATATTTGATTTAATTTTATTGATCAAGATCTGGTAAGTAAAAGACAACAACCTTTAGCATATGCAGATGAAGAACTAGAGAAGAGGAAGAAGACAAAAAGTACAGATGGAGATGGGAATGAAAAACAGGAAGTCACAGTTATGGGGATTTTAATTTCAATCATATAGATTGGGAAATGTTAAAGTGAAATCATGAGGGAGACAGGTTTTTAGAGACTGTTGAGGATGGTTTTATTTATCAAATTTTCAAGGAACTGACAAGGAATGTCAGTATTTTAGATATATTGTTAACTTCTAATTTAGAAATGATTGATATAGATATGGCTGATAGGGTGGAGAGTGGGAAATGTCTGGGTGAAAGTGATCATTGCTCAATTAAGTTTTATGTTTCATTGCATATGGAGATAAAGAATAACAATATTTTGTTTAAAAGTTTTAAAAAATCAAATTTTGAAGGGATGAGACAAGAATTATCTATAATTAATTTTAATTGGATATACTAATCATATATGGAAAACTTTTAAAAATGGATTTTTAAATAATCAAGATAAGCATGTTCCTTACAGAAAACAAAAAGGGTGGCTGCAAGTAAAAAAAAACAGGTTGGCTCACAAAAGGTATAAAAGATGAGAATAAAGAGAAGCATTATAAAATTAAGAAGTTTAAATTGACTTCTCTGATGAAAGATTTAGAGAATTATAGAAGACCAAGAAAGTTGGTCAAATAGGAGATTAGGAAATGAAAAAAAACTATATAATGAAAGAATGGCTGAAAATGTAAAAAATAGTAGAAAGGATTTGTTGAAATAAATTAAAGATATCAAAATGTTAGAATGGGAGTAGGACCTTTGAAGGATGATACAGAAAGACTAATATTTCTGATGATTGTGGAAGACTGGGTTATTAAATTCTATGTTTTCTTCAATTTTTACTAATGAAGATTTAAGAAATATTCCTCATCCTGAACAGTTGCTAGATGGAAACAAGATCAAACAAGATGATCACAATAATTCTGAGCTTGTTAAGAAACAATTGTGAAGTTTAAAAATTGATAAAGCTCCTTGGCCAGATAATATCGCACCAAGGGTTTTGAATGAGGTTAAGGATTAGATATATGAGCCACTTGCTACTATTTTTTGTAAGTATATTAGGCAGGTGCCAGAGGAATGGAAGGTGGCTAATGTTACTACTCTTTCCAAAGCAGGTGATAAAAGCTGTAATTATAGGCCTATTAGTCTTACACCAATAGTGAGAAAAGTTTTCAAAAGTCTGATGAAAGCTGCATTCAAAGTCATTTAACAAAGTTTAAAATGTTGGGGAAAATCTTGCCTGCCTAATCTTTTGAAATTCTTTGAAAAGGTTATTGCTTAAGTAAATGAGGTTGAGGAGATTAATTTGGTGCCCCTGAATTTTCAGAAGGCATTTGACAAAGTGCCACATAAGAAGCTTGTTAAAAAAAATGATCTCTCTAGGTGTGAGGGATAGGTTGGCTTTTTGGATATAAAACTAGCTAGATGGAAGAAAACAGAGGGTTGTTGTAAATGGAGTTCAATCTAACTGGATTAATGTAAAAAGTGGGATACCTCAGGGCTTAGTGTTAGGACCTTTGCTCTTTTTGATTTACATCAATGACAGAGATGAAGGAATGATCAATAGATTATTTAAATATGCTGATGATATTAAAGTTTTTAGGTGTTGCTGGCTGTGAAGAGAAGGATTCTGCTTTACAAAAAGATTTGGATTATTTGATCAGTTTAGCAAGTAAATGGTAGATGGCTTTTGATTATAAAAAATGCAAGGTATTGCATGTTGGATATCATAATTTGAATTTTGAGTACAATTTTGATAGGAATAATCTTAACAGTGCTATGGAGGAAAAGGATCATGGTGTTCTGGTTGATTACTCTCTTAAGCCATCCAAGCAAAATCCTGTTGAAAGTGGTACGGCAAATAGGATATTAGGTTGTATCTAAAGTAATGTTTAATACAAGTATTAAAAGGTTATATTTTCATTGTATAGGTCATTGGTTAGGCCACATTTGAAGTACTGTGTTCAGTCTTGGGATTTTTACCTTACAAAGGATATTCATTTGTTGGAGAGGATTCAAATGAGGGCTACTGGGATGGAAATGTTGTCATTACAAGAACAGGGTAATATCTCTGAAATTGTTTTCTCTTGGGAAAAAAAGTTAGAAGTGATCTGATTGAGGGGCTTAAGATTGTTAAAAGAATTTATAGTGTTGATGCATCATTGTTTTTCATATTTAATGGTGAGAATGGTACAACTAGAGGACACAAATATAAATTTGGCAGTGTGAGAGTCTTCTTTGATTACAGGTTTATTTTTCAAACAGAGTGGTTGGCCTTTGGAATGGGTTGCCTTCAGATGTGGTGGATGTAGTTCAAGGGACAGTTTTATAATATCTGTAAAATAAGAGCTATCTTTGAGTGTTTTATTTTTACTTTAAAGTTTAGTTTAGTGGATGGGATGGCCGAGATAGACCTACAGATACCTTGTTGTCCTTAAATTATATGTAATATATAGAAATGTATAACATCAATAGTTTATCTATACTTAACTATTCAGATACTACAATAGAGAATGGATTAAAACAGAATAAAAGTAACACATACAAATTCCATTTGAGATAAACCTGAACATATGTCACTGTACACATGTTTTATAAATTATTCTTCTCCCTTACAAAGAATGTACAGGCAATGAATTGCAATATGCTTTTGTAGTATATTGTTATAGTAAAAAAAATATATATGTTCACTATATTGTCTTTAAGTCATTTTACTTTAAGGTGTTATATATTTCAATGAAATCTATGCATGTAATTAATTTCTTTCAGATTTCCTGGAAATGTGCATTTTGTTTGACACTGTTATTTAATATATAAATGAAACAAATTGCAAGGAGTGACACTTATAACTCAAGTTCACTACAGTATAAGATAGGAAACTTTCAGTAGATCATTTCAGGAGTGACATATAACTGGCACAGCATTTCTTTTAATGAACACAATTCTGGAATGATATTCCACTGTTATTTGCTCCCCAATGGGTCATAGGTAAGCTTACAGACTTACAGCACTAAAATCCAGGGTTTGATTCCCCATGGTAGCCAGACCCCAGATAACTCATTCTGTAGTTCTGTGCTCAAACAAACAGACTTTCTTTTGGGGATTATGATTAATAATTTTATTAAATGATATACACACATATTAAGACTATCTCATAAAGTAACCCACTGGCAAATATGAAAACACCAACATACTAAATATATTAAAATTTTTGTTAAAACTCCACAAGAACCCTCTCTTTTAAAGAACTTAATGCTAAGAACGTTTTGATTTTTGTTTGTTATTAAACATAAAGTTATACATTGAGCTGTCTGCACTCTACCCACCATTGACATTGAAACCCAATTTTTTAGGGTTATAAGCCCAACTTACTGTTGAACCACTGGGAGAAAGAACTTATCAAGCAGTCTTTCTAATCTCTTGCTTAATGTATTATAATTAATGAGCAACATGACTAAATGTTTGGATCTAGAAGATGGTTAGGATAACTTTAATTTTTGATACTTAGATAACATTAATTAACACGAATTCTGTTATATTTTTTGAAGCCCAAAATATATTAATTACTAATAATATTCAAAATACATATTGATCCTTTTTTTATGTAACATTGTCACATATCTCCTAAAACTAATGCAAAGCCACACTCTGCAATTAAAACTGATAACATATTTGTTATATATTATAATGGCAGCCATACTAAAGTTTTCATATGAAAAATAAAATAAGTTTAATGACAATTTTTGCTTTTTTTTCTATTCCAAAGACATACCCTTTCATTAATACAGGCAGAAATATCTTAATAAATGAATACTTGGTTAGTTTTACACTCTTAATTCCTCTCTCTCTTTCACTATCCTACTCCATTAGTGACAATGTAACATTTACAGCAAAGCTGACAGCTAAAGTATACCACCATAAAATGCAACATTAATCTCACCAATCAGGACTGATATGATTATGCAAGATGGTAATAATGAAAGATGTGAAGAATGGAATTTTAAAGAGAATAGACAGAAAAGTTATTGACAAAGTGAAAGTGCAAATGTTTATAAGGGTGTTGCTCTCAACTTGAATTGACACTTTTGTTGGAAAGTGGGTGGGGATACTTAGCAACTTTATTTTAGGCCTTAATTAAAAACCTCTTACAAGCAAAGGAAACATTTTTAGTGGTTTGGTTTGTTTTGAAGTTTATGCAAAGCTACATGAAGGCTATCTGCACTATTTTTAGTGGTAATTCACAGATCCAGTATTGTTCTTAAAGATAAGTATGAATAACAGTTCAAAATACTTGTCATGTCAAAAGCATTGGTGTCACCTTGAAATTTCAAATATCTAATCATGAGTTTGATCATTTATTTAGTCTGACATAGTTGTTAATATCATCATTAGAAAACAATATAACTTGTCAACTTAGCTGGCTTTGCATAATAGTTTACATACATGAAGTGAGAAAATGGAGGGAGGGGCAACATATATTTGTAATTCAACCCTCCTCTAATCAGTTTGAGGGGGCAGTGCTTCTTCTACCCAATGTGTTAGATGCTTATGACATAAGCACATCAAAGAATACAGTTTTTACTGTTATAAACAACAAGTTAGAAATATCCTTCCAACTAAATAGAGCTCGGAGAAGCTAATTCAAATACTATATCTTTACATTGAATAGAAGAATTTCCTGTACAACAGGAAAATAATAAAAAACAGGTTGTACAAAATTTGGTTATCATTTCAATAACTAGTAACATTTCATCGAACAGAACATTATGTTAACATTTAATGTGTCACTCAGAGGATTAACTTGAAAAGTCTTGCTCAGGGAATGAACCAAGATTTTATTTAAGCTACTTAATGAGGTCTGTAGCATGCTTTCCTGGGAAAATTCTTAAATTATGCCAGCTGGCTGATTCTGAAAATTATGTATATGGCAGGGAATTGAGTTGGTAGTATATCTTAGACACTCACATTTTGTTTTGATTACCCTTTGTTACTTAATCAGGAAAAGGTGACCACTCAATCCACCCTCCATGGTTTAGCACCTGTCACTTTATTACATTTAAAATTCATAGCTTACATAATGCAATATACAAAGACTGAGTATGTTACATTAAAATGATGCTGTTACAGTCCATATTTCTACATCCAGCCCTACTATATCTGATGTACATGCATCTTGACAATACCTCTGCTGTATAGTGGTGGCATCAAACTACCTATGAAATGCCAAAAATGTAATTATGATACATTCCATTCTATCGTGACTTAAACTCATTAAACTACCTATGAAATGCCAAAAATATAATTATGATACACTCCATTCTATCATGACTTAAACTCATTAAGCTACCTATAAAATGCCAAAAATGTAATTATGTTACATTCCATTCTATCATGACTTAAACTCATTAAACTACCTATGAAATGCCAAAAATGTAATTATGATACACTCCATTCTATCATGACTTAAACTCATTAAACTACCTATAAAATGCCAAAAATGTAATTATGATACATTCCATTCTATCATGACTTAAACTCATTAAACTACCTATGAAATGCCAAAAATGTAATTATGATACACTCCATTCCACCATGACTTAAACTCATTAAACTACCTATAAAATACCAAAAATGTAATTATGATACATTCCATTCTATCATGACCTTAACT